CATTCATTCATTCATTCATTCATTCATTCATTCATTCATTCATTCATTCATTTATATTTTGTCAAGCAAGTATTAGATAACAGGTATAAGTATAAACATGATTATGAATACATGAAATGGATACAAATAAAAAGAAACTTTAGGACAGGGACGGTAGTCACGTTGGTGTGCTTATGCACGCCCCCTACAGACCTCTTAAGAAAGGGGTAAGGTCAATAGTAGACAGTGTAAGGCAGGGGTGGGATTCAAAAATTTTAACAACCGGTTCTGTGGGCGTGGCTTAGGTGGTGGACATGGCTTGGTGGTCATGTTATTGGCTGGGTGTGGCCAACTCAATATCACTCACATCGAGGAATGCATCTCCTCGCCTGGCCTCTCATGACTGTGGGGATGCTGCAACAGTTGTAAGTGTGAAAAATGGTCATAAGTCACTTTTTTCAGTGCCATTGTAGCTTTAAATGGTCACTCCACACAAGCAAAGTACCAGCAAAGGAGGGAAAAAAGACTCTAGAGAAGTTCCAGAGACAGGAAGTCTAGTCCTGCCAAGAATGTAATAAGGGTTAACGGAGAAGCAGTTTCTGTAAGCAACACCAGAATGTTTCCTTCCTGCCTTCCTTACAGGATTAGGCCAGTAATTTCTTCTAACAACTGGTTCTTCGAACTGCTTAGAATGTTAACAACCGATTCTAGCGAATAGGTGCGAACTGGTAGAATCCCACCCCTGGGGTAAGGTTAATGTTTTGGGGGTTTGGCGAAGAAACCACAGAGTCAGGTAGTGTATTCCAGACATTGACTACTTTGTTGCTGAAGTCGTATTTCCTGCAATCAAGTTTGGTGTGGTTTACCTTGAGTTTGTATCTATTGTATGCTCTTATATTGTTGTGGTGTGCAGAATGCATTAAGGACCTGGCTTTCCTGCCAACCATTCAGCCTGAGAATTGGATGATTCCTGTTTTGTGGTGATCGTTCCATCTGCTGGCTTTTGCTCTAAGCATGCACGTTTGCTTGCTTTTCACTCGTTTTTATCATTATTCAGTTGTACTAATTTTTTAGCATTAGTACAACTGATGCAGAGTCGCAAGTTGATCAGATGGCCCTATTAACTGATCAATTAAATATGGGAATCTATTTTCTGATATGAGTTGCTACCTCCCATGTTTTTCAATGTCAAATTAGTCGTCCCCGTTAATTAGATATTCCAGTTTTCTCATCTGTGACAAGAGCTCAGAATACAGTGAATTTCAGTTGCCCCCCCTTCTATTTCCCAAAATAGGGTGGGGTGTGTATAAAAGGAAACAAGGAAGATTGGGGTGGAATTAGTCCAGTTGGTAAGAGAAAGCATGTGGATAAAATCTCACCTGAAAATATTTCCAGTTTTGGGTCTCTTTCTAGCCATTTCCACATTTTCCAAAGAGAATCTGACAGATTATTGTGATAGCTAAAAATAGAAGGACCTCCATCAGTCAGTATCTATCTTTTTCTCCATCAATCATCTGAAGCTACATCTTGATAAGAACAGATTTGTTTCATAAGCCACTGCAGTTAAGGAATCCGTCCAGTTTCTGAACTTTAAAATAGTTATATTTTAAAATTCCTTTACTTTAGCAGTAGAACATGAAGAAGGTTACAGTTTATGATATGGACATTTTTTTAAAAAGATAAATGGGAAATGTGAACTTCCCAACTAGCCTGCAATTAATAGAAAAGTTTGACATTAAGATACTAAAAACAAGGATTTCTAGAGGAGCAAGATAAAAGACTAAGAAAAAGAATCCAGACTATCTTTTTAAAGATAACCCTTTTTTCGTGGAACATGCATTATCAGAATCTTTGCCAATCAAAGCATCTGATGATTTGTATTCAGGATTTTCTGTCCAGCTGTTATATATTGCAATAGAGAATAAATATAAATCTCCAGTAAATAAACAAGTAAAAAAAAATCTCCTTATACACCAAAGCTAGCAAATTATTTCATAGGTCAGTGAACTATTTAATCTATTTCTCAAATAGTACTTCTTTTTTTCTGGAATGCATTCTATCAGATTGCATTTTGTCCCAAAATTAGACATAATAGATTGGAATAAGTTGGTGTAAGCAAAATCGCTCCCGTATTTGAAATATGTTGATGGTACTTAGGAATTTATCATCATGCACACAGACAATTCTGCATAAAACAACAATTATGAAAAGCTCTAGGTGGTTTTGCCATTGATTTTGACAAGAAAAGACAGAAGTCCTTTGAGAAGGCTGCACTCAAAATCGATATTGCTCTAAACCACTCTATAATTCACAAAGTCACGAGTTGAATTTTAAGATGTTACACGCCAAGTTAATGTGGAAAATCAGCTGTACTAGGAAATATGAGCCCATATGTAATTGTTCAATAACGCTTAGATTTCTGACTGTTCAGTTTCATTTTCCAATGATTCTGCAAACCACACTTAATTAATCCTCCCAACTATCTAAAGAAACAGGTAATCTTGCATTTATTATCGATAATAGTTACTGTACAGTGCTCTAGTGTTAACCATAAAGGAGGGAAAAGTGTAAACGCTTGCTGTGGTTAGACCTGGGAAACTCAGAAATGATTGTTTGTTAGCTTAACACCAGTTCTTTCTTGGTCTTTATTTAACCAGGACTTGTCACACATCTACTATCCCACTTCTACCACTTCTGACACATGCAAACACATTTTTGTTTTAATGCTGTGAAAAGAGAGTGACTGACACAAAATTGCCACCTCAGTATCCTGTAGAAAACTGAAAACAGTATATCAGTGGTGCAAAATGCCTGGAGTGCAAACCAAGGATTTAAAAACAGCTGCATTTTTTGCACAGCTGCTGTGTGCAGCTGCCATGCAATCTCCCCCCCCCCACACACACACACAGAAAGATGCTCCATTTGACTCTCTTATATACTCTGAAAGAAAGAACTTTACAACCCTCTGCTAAAAGATCTTACTATTTAATTCATATTAAGGGAATAACCTATGTTCTTGCTTTGGTCCGGGATGTTCAATCTTGGCTACTTTAAGGCTTGTGGCTACTTTAAGGCTACTTTAATGAAGTTGAAGTCCACAAGTCTATTTTAAAAAATATTTTTATTATGCATTTTCCTTTATAATACATCATATTTTAAATTTTACATCAACAATACATAAGTCATAAAGTAGCCAAGGTTGGACATCTCTGTTTCCCTGCTTAGTTCTTCTCTATACCATGGTGGCACAGTAGTTAGAGTGCAGTACGGCAGGCTACTTCTGCTGCCTGATGGTCAGGAGCGGACTGCTATCAGTTTGCCTCGGTTCGGGTGAACCGGATGTTAATTTTACAGCAAACCGGCAAATCCCACCCCTACCTGGCCCAGCCCAGCCCACCCTGCCCCTCCAGGAGTCCCCATTTTGGGCCCATTTTGGATCCCAGATAAGTGCAGGGCCCACTCAGAGGCCCAAGGAGGGTGAAAAATGGGCCTCTTGGGGGTTCCAGAAGGCCCAAAACGGGCCTGTTTTTGGCCTCCATAGAGCCTCCGGAGCCCAGGGACAGTGGTGCGATTCAACCAGTGTAACAGCTGGTTCAGGGAGTGTGTGAAGGAGTCTGTACTGGTAGAATCCCATCTCTGCCCAGGGAGGCCGTTTTTGCCCTCCCCGAGGCTCGAGAAAAGCCTGCAGAGCCTGGGGAGAGTGAAAACATCCCCTCGGCCATGGTGTCGGAGGCTGACTAGGCCATGCCCAGCATGGCCATGCCCACCCAGCAACCGGGCAGAGAACCGGTTGCTAAATATTTTGAAGCCCACCCCTGCTGCTGGCTGCCTGCAATTTGGCAGTTCGAATCTCACCAGGCTCTAGGTTGACTCAGCCTTCCCTCCTTCCGAGGTGGGAAAAATGAGGACCATGCCCCAGCTTGTTGGAGGCAATATGCTGAAATTTGTAAACCACTTAGAGAGGGCTGTAAAGCACTGTAAAGTGGTATATAAGTCTAAATGCTATCGCTATGCAGATCTATACTTAATTTTAAAATCAGACAGCTCTCTCTCTCTCTCCCTTTGAGTCCCACCAAGTCATTTCATATACTTTCAGTTAATTTTGATCCACTAAATGATAATAGAGGATATGAAAATGACTCCTGTCTGTTCAGAACAGCAACAAGAAACACATCGTTAGGGATTACACACACACACACACACACACACACACACACAGACCACACAGCACAATTCCCTATTGCTTACGAGCAATTGTTGTACCACAAAGGTTTAAGGGAATTCTTGCCCACCTTTATGGAAATAAACTGTGGCTGTTGTCTCAAACTGAAGAGACACCAAAGCTTTCCTCAGCCATAAAAGCAGCTTACTTATGCATGCAGAGTGTATAATGGTTTTAGTAATACGGAGTTAAAGATGCCTTTTGTGGCTTTGCAAAAGGCAGCCTCACATGGAGCCTCCCCAGAAAAAGCAGGAGGAGAGCTGACTGACAGGAAACAGTGGGAGGTTACAGGCCCTGGAAAAGATAGCTGAAGACCATATTGCTGGAACAGGCACAAGAACAAATCCTGTTCCAAAGATGAGAGCAGTACAGAGAATCCTTGGCTTGCAAAGCCAGGCACACACAGCCTGACAGCACAAGCTAGCATAAATATGGTAAGGGAGATGATGTACCACCTCTGAATCACTGAACTTGAGGGAAACGTTTGGAAGCAGGAATCAAACAAGGGCTGAACTCTCTGAGGGCCCCCTCAGAACCTTCCAGCTACCACTCGCTAGCGTCATGTGCTTGGATCTTCAGAAAGAAGACAGCCCTCGGCTTATGACCACAGTTAGGAGCAGGATTTCCATTGTTAAGAAAGGCAGTTGTTAAGTGAGTCACATCCAGGGGTGGGCTGCTGTGGTTCGGGAGAGCCCCTAGCTAAGATTCTGAGAACCCCCAAATCCCATTCCTGGCTGGTCCCACCCCGCCCCTCCCAGGAGTCCCCATGGGGCCTGTTTTGGATGCAGGTAAGTGCAGGGCGTGCATGGAGGCTCTGGGAGGGTGAAAAATGGGCCTCCTGGAAGTTCAGGAAGGCTGAAAATGGGCCCATTTCCAGCTTCGATAGAGCCTCCAGAGCCTGGGGAGGCCATTTTCACCCAAAAATGCCCCCCCTTGCCGTGGTGCAGGAGGCCATAGCCATGCCCACCCAGCAATCAGGCAAAGAACCCTTTGCTAAAAATTTTGAAGCCCACCCCTGGTCACATCCAATATTATGGCCTTTTTGCCACGATTGTTAAGGAAATCATTGCAGTTGTTAAATGAATTGTGTGGATATTACATGAATTGACTTTGATTTTGCTCATCAGAAGCTGGCTGGGAAGGGTGCAAATGATAGTCACATGACCCCAAGAGGCTGCAATTACTGTAAATGTGTACCAGTTGCCAAGCACTTGAAG